AAAAGTTATCGCTATAATAACACCTAACCCATTCCCAGTCATGAATAGCAAACAACGAACCGTGGATGTCGAAGAGGAAATCGAACTGCTCTTGTGTGAGAATACCATCAGAAACCGTACGGGCCTTCAACTCGTTGAGCAACTCCCATGCATATTCAATACCACCAGTGGAGTTGGGATAAGCTGAGGCATCGTAAGCACACATAGAAAGCTTGTGGCAGTATTTACCAACAGTGCAAGAACCTTCCAACATGATGGTGATCTTGGCCTTCAAGTTCTCCCATCCTGGTTGAGTACACACAGCACACTGTTCTGTCATCATATAATTCATACGATAAACGAGATCATCTGCATAGTCACCGTCAATAGCGTTACGATAGAGCATCATCGTAGCATGGTCGGCATACTGCATAATGTACTGAGTACCCAGAGTATTCTTCCCACCCTCGATAGAGAAATCAATAAGCAAAGAACCAGGGGCATATCCCATCCTCTTGCTGACATCCTTCTTCATCTGCTGAGCCTTCAGTAACGTTCTCTTGATATATTGCGGCTGCATGCGCTCGGCATCGAAACTCAAACCGATGGGAGCAATTTGTCGCATGTCTTCTGCCGATATGAAATTTTGTACAAATTCATAAAAGGTGTCAACGAACTCGAGCATATGCTTGCTGTTCGCTGTGCTCGCGTCACCGTAAGTTAACCAAATCCTCTCAGTATTTCCAGTTTGCTTCCTCCATCCCTTCATCCACGGAAGGAGCCTCTCCGGGTTATGAATACGGTCATAGTTGGTATAATCAGCGATATTCACATACACATCGCCAGTGTTCCACAACTTGCCCATATCAGAAGCACCAAAGTCAGTAAGACTGGGGTCACCTGACCTCCAGAAATCCTGAGACCATGAATAGGTACCGAACCGAACAGAAGCTCCAGAAGGGCTGGACGTTGTCGTTGTGGACGAAGTCGTTGTCGTTGTAGGCGGAGACGTTGTTGACGGAATTACCGTCGTAGTTGACGGAATCATTGTCGTCGTTGTTGGAACCGTACTATTCCCTCTCGGTGATGCTATCTCCGGCAGCTCTAGGGCTTGCCGAGTGCTACCAATAGCCACAACGGGGTCGCTCAAGTATAGAGTAATAGCTAGAGCTTGACGATAATGCAACATCTAAGAATAATAACTGCGAACTCGAGAAAATGCGAACAAATTCATAGCGTCACACCGTGATAAGTTTTCATACTAGTCCGACTGTTCTTCATATATAAACCGGTGTCGACCATAACGGCCTACGCAATTCGGACAGTATAGCGAGTGTGAGACGGACTAACATCGTGACGATGTTTGTGACAAACAAACGATGTTACATCGTCTACATGTTCCACCGCTTGCATATGCGTACAGCTGTGTTAGTAGTAACACCCGCACTGGTTGACTCAACAACACTTGGGATAGCCATAATAGGTAATAAGGCTTCTTATCTTATCCATTTCAGCCTGAGGGCTGCGAGCCGTTTCATGCAACGAATAATGGGCGAGCGAGATTCGTGCATACGCGCGCATATTGGAGGAATCGGATCCCTTGCCGGCCATATAGGGAACGCAAGGGTAGCCGATGGATCAAACTCGAACTATCTTGAATACGGATAAGTCTAGACTAGAGAAATGAAATGATAAGACCAATAGTCTAGTTCACTTGACTACAATGAATGCCATGCACGCATGCTCATGTTCCTTACTGGAACAAGGCGACGCACAATGCGTGGCGCACAACTGCTTGTCTACGAATAGACAGTCAGGGAAAATCAGGAGCCCTCATCATCGACTCCTACAACATGCCCCCCTGGTGAGGGCACACTCTTGCGGAGAGTGTACATCCAGAGGAACGACATTACAATGGTTCTCCACAGACTCATAACCCAGGGTGGACCTCACACGATATCGACGACAGAGACCATCAGGCGAGATGTCCGCCGATACAATGTGACCAACATGAACACCCACATCACACTTGTTACGAGGCTTATAACGAATCAGTACCGTGGAACCAGGGTCCAAGGGCTTGATATGCTTGGAAGGCTTGCGACCAGTTTGTTGAGCGCAGCGGTCTCGAAGAGCTTGCCAATGGTGTGCCAAGAATGCCTTACGGATATTTTCTACGGCGACCGGTCTAGAAGCATGTAAGTTGGGTATCGGGTCGCCGTCCACCGATTTAAGCAATAAGCCAGTTGAGCGAGTATAACCAAAGGCTGGCGAGTCCGCAGTAATAAAGGTAGAAGATGACGATCCGGCTTGATGGTCCAAAACATGCTCACAAATAGGCGATGTGTTCATCATCAAGGTAACATGATCGTAAATCTTGCATAAGTCGTAAGCGGTGGCCCTAGCAAGCTTCTGCGGGGTATAGCAAGCTCGAAGCGTCCGTAGGCCAACAGAATGACTTCGCTCCACTGGGGTTTCCCATGGAGCTCTAGCAGCATGATACTCCACTTTCACTGTCCAGGCAGACATCTGCTCTTGGAAGATATTGGAGGTAAAGGCCGTTCCACAATCGACATAGAGAATGCTAATCTGGCCCCACAATCAACAGCCACTTGACCCCTTCGATAGCGGCGTCCGCGCACTCTGCACCATGAGAGATAGGAATCCAAGTGGTATGTGTCGTAGCGATACATCTGGCTGCCAATACAATCTCATTCGGGAAGACATGGAGAAAATCCACAGCACAGACAGTATAAGGAGTACCAGTGAGTAGAAGTCTCTCAATGTCCCAGCTAGAACCTGCTGGTGGAACCTGGCGTACCAAAGCAGAGGCTCTAAGTCGGAGTTTTGCACAGAAGAGACATCGGCGAGCAACTTGCTTCACGTCAGACGAGATACCAGCGACATGTAAGTCTGCACTCACCGCACTGAGGGTCGCAGTGGGACCTGAGTGGCCAACCCGTTGGTGAGCGCCAAGCGCAAGGAGAAATCTTAGACGGCGTGCTTCTCTCGGTACACAAGGGCGGATGAGCACGTGGCCAGCCAGGGTACCAGAACGAAAGCACCATATCTCGTCTTTGGCATCGAAGACGTAAGCTGTACCACGACCAGAGAAAACCACCCCTGCTTGGGCATCTCGCACCACGACAAGCACGTCCTGTAATTGGAGACCAGAAGAGGACAATTGATGGATGGCAGCTTGCTGCTTGTCCTCCATGGCTTGAGTATACTTGGCGGCCGCATCATCTGGGACTTGTTGACGGGCAGTAGTCTTACGTCGAGGGTAACGTGGCTTGAATGGCACCTGGGACCGCCAGAAAGAGAGAATGGCTCGCATCACCGCCACCGACCGATAGACGTAGTTGATATCGTTGTGACGTAGCAAGGTAGCATAGAAGGATTCTGGAGCATCAGCTCGTGCTTGCACAGCGAATATAGAATCTTCGACGAGTTCATTGTTGCAACAGGTCTCCACGAGGGCGAGCGTCCGACGCTCGCTCGCCGAGCGAGTCATTCAAAGTACAATCAACGAGTGACGCAACAGCAAGAGGATGGCAGAGGGCACGCTGTAGAGGATAAGGTCGTAGGTCTTCAATGCTCTCCCAATCCATGCCTACAAAGCACACTTCATCGGCTTCGGTGTCACCGTCTTCACCAGGATCGGGATCGAAGTCTGCCAACTGGAGGAGATAAGCTTCATCTTGTGCAAGCCGGTCAGCCTTCTTGGTAGCCTCGGTAAGCCCACCAGTACCGTCGAGGTCAACAGCAGTAAGATCTTGAAGCGCAGCAGCAAGCATGACCTTGCCAGCATCGTCACAGCACTGCTCAAGATATCTGCTAAGCCGATCGGCTGCGGTATTGTCCGGTCCCGAGCAATGAAGGATTCGGTACGAGACAGCCGATCCCAGAGACCTGAGGACTCGGAACTCCTCTGACAGGGCGTCGATCAATCGCAGAACACTTCGCTTCTCGATGCTTGTGTTCCGTCCGATACCTTGAGGGAAGACTCCTTGAGCTTTCTGAGCCCATGCTACACTCGGCTTATTGTCAGAGTAGATAGCCAAAGTGACCGTAAGAGACTTGTTGGGAGACATGGAGATCAGGTTACGGATGAGGTTCACCACGCATCTCAACCCCCTTAACAGTACGGTAAGTTCTCTTCTATTGCTGTGCCAGGCATACTGAGTGCCCTTCCATCCAGTAGCCGACTGTAACAGTAGATGGCGCTGTTCCTCACTGTTAGGAACCATAGAGTCGAGGCGGTAGATCACAAACCCCCCTCCAACGAAGCTGGCATCGGTATACAAAGCAAGATGGACTGTGTTCTGCCCAGGAGTAAGTACAGGAATAGCGTGATCACATGAAGCTGCTAGCTCGCATTCCGCTATCCCCCAACGCAGCAAGGCCTTCCAGGCGTCTGAGCAGTTCGCTGATAGCTCAGCCATAGGTAGGGCAGCATCCCATGAATGCTGTGCAAACACCTTGCTAATTAGCCGACGTAGACAATCTCCGACCAGCGAGGCTGCTGCATGGATCGATATAGGATCATAACCCAAAGCTCCCCCTACTCTGAAAACCAGTCTTTTGGTAACCAAGGCGTCTTGGCCATTTTCCAAGCATTTGGTACAGATAGCTTTTGCTGGTTGGAGTCTAAGTTCTCGGCCACACTTAAATACCAGCGATTGGTTCATAAATGAATCATTTAAAATCATAGCTCGCAGCCTAGAAGAAGCATCTTTTCTTGAGGTGGAAGAAAAGACTCAGTTGCTTCAGCGATATCAACGGCAATGAAGTGGAGCTTCGGCAGAGCACAGGCGAATCCACAGAGATCAAGCAGGAAGAACAAGTACTTCGCAGCCAGCAGAACCTTAGGGTCAATACCAGCGAGAACGCCATCATCGACGAAAATGGCCGCGACTCGCGGCCCGCGAGTAGGAGGAAAACCGCATAAGGGCTCGCACGGAAGCAGGCAACGAGCCAGCCAAGACTTTCTTCCATCGCGGGGGGACCTGCACCGAGTCCGAAACTCAGCCTGGTAGATACATAATCAGGGTCATTGGACTCGGTCATACCAGAGTGCATGTACAAGAGCCTGTTAGGACTCAGGCGAATGCGGTAAAATGCAGAAGCGCAGTCGTAGCCGATAATGTAACCCGGACTCAAACATCTCAAAGCCAGCAGCACATCTCCGACGGCAATGCCAGAAGTAGTAGAGACGGGTAGTTGTGAGTTACAAGGCGAGAAGTCGGCTACAAGGCGAGGTTTTGCGAACATCTCCAGGCTTAGCGCCCAGCAAGAAGATCTCAGCCGGGAGTAGATCTCCAACACGGGCATCACTATCCTTCAGAGCTCTTCACCAGCCTCTCGAGAGATATCCTCGAATGAGGCTCTCATAGACTGCCTTGTACTGATCGGATAGACGGCGAAACAGGGGTCTGGCATAGGACCGGTGCACGATGGTGGGACTCTTGGGCTCGGGAATGGATAGCTCGGAATAATGGGTCTGCAGGGTAGTATCCTTGGGCGCATTGCTCGGTAAGAAGTGCAGTTGTATACCATAGGATCCAGATTCAGCACTGCCAAATTGTCGCTTGCTTCTCCTGGCAAGGTTCGCAAGCCAAAGGCGTAACTCATCGGCAATGGTAGGCTCGAGCTGAGTCTCGAAGGCAATGACAGCTGGATCTGGTTGCACCGCCACCGAAGTTGTGCAAGTTGTTTCCTTGAAGGTATCGTCGACATTGAGGAGGCTGTTCACATCATAGATGAACTCGGTTGACAAGGCCAGTTGATCAGCAGGTAGCGATGAGAACAACAGCTTGCCTGTAGCAGTAGTGACCTTCGACGCTCCAAATACCCGTAAATCCCAAGCTTGAATCAAGTCAAGCCCAATAAGCAAGAAGGGCTGTCTGGTGACCGACTCTAGTACACGGACGGAGACAATATCATCAATAACAGGCGAGTTATCTAGATCTCTCAACACGACCGGTACTTCTAGTGCTTGGTGAACATCCCGGAGCTCGCCATCCGCCAGCTTGACGGTATGGGATATCTGGCAGAGGCT